TTGTTGGCCCTTTCCCTCCCACCTGACGAGTTACCCACTCGTAATGCTCGACATCGAGTGATTTCGTTCCTAATGACAGAGCTCACCCTGCAAAGTTGGCTTGAGCAACGAGCTGATGTGAGTAGTTGTTTCAGCGATTAAAAAAGCTATGATCACCTTGAAGACTTAGATTACGGTGAAGTTGGCGCCAGGTGAACCGAAGTACTGGTGCATGGTCCTCTGACGCCCTTCCTCAGTTATGGTTTGTTGCAGGTATTACGTGCCGCTCTTGCTGACTACACAACTGAAGGCCATGCGAATACGTGGGATGCGCTTCGTCCTGTCTGTCTGACTTGGGCGTTCGTCGATCGGTATTTCCGTGACGTGATACCGGTGAGCTGTCTTTCAGTCCTATGATCAACCTTATCACTCACCAGGGAAGTCCGCCAACTTACCATGGAACTTTGAATGGAGACCTGGGTAGATCGATAGAGTCTATAAGGTTATTTACAAATATAGATAGCAAAACTGCAACCTGCATTTCACAAGCAACTTATGAGCAGGTAAAGTTTGTAATGGTGCAGTAGGGTGGAGGCTTGGTGGTGAGCTGTGAAGCATAAGCGAGGAATCGCATACGTCGAATCGAGTCGTCGAACGTCAAACCTTGCACATGAACACCATGACCGATTCGACGTATGCGATTACTCGCTGGTGCTTCATAGCTCACCATCCAAAAGCCTCCACCCTACTGCACCACTACAGACTTTACCTGCTCATAAGTTGCTTGTGAAATGCAGGTTGCAATTTTGCCATCTATATTTGTAAATAACCCTATAGACTCTATCGATCTACCCAGGTCTCCATTCAAAAATCCATGGTAACTTGGTGGACTCCCCTGGTTTAGTGACTTTTAGTGCTTTATTATGCGCAGTTCCCAAAGTTTATTGGCCAGTTTAAAGACAGCTCCCGCGATAAAAGTGTCAAGGATAATTGCTGATCAATTATGAAACAGTAGCTGATAAGTAATTCCTCAATGAAGGAAAAAAGAAACAAGAGCCCTCAAGAACACCATAAACAAAATCGCGCCCTGACAGTCACACCTCCCTGCGGTACAGATCATTTTGTCACATCTCCAGTAGTGGATATCATCGAATGCGAAGAAAAGAAAGAAAAACAAAAACCAACAGAAACATGGAGGAATAACTCTTGAAAAGGAAAGGAAACATTTAAAAGTAGCGCCACGCGGACGACTGTTCGAACCTAGGGTACGGTAGCGAGATGTTTTTAGGTAGTAATTGAGTGCGTCGAGTATTGCTACCACGGGAAATTGATCCATTCGTGACTTTACCTCCGCATACTACGGGCAAAAAAACTACCGTTTTGAATTTCTACCAGGACGGCGGCCGCTCCGACAAGTCCTTGGGCGAAGTGCCCAAATTCACCCATCAGTTATAACATTTCCCCTTGTCCTGCCTTTGACCGAATCTTCCTGCATTTCGCTCCTGGCGATCTTGGTAGGAGGGCTGTGCGGCCGGAGAGGCGCGGGCCCAAGGCGCCCCTCCGAACCGAAAGGGCTGTCGGCCCTGTGACGACGGCATGAACCGTGATTCTGAACAAATTTATCAACTCTAAAACTGCCATATGGATTAGAACTCATTAGTGTGAACAACAATGAACCTCTCTGAGACAACTTACTCCACAAAGTTGGGCGAGTAGCTGGTTTCTTCACTTCTTTCTTCTTCCTTTCTCGAAGGAACGCCGCTAAAATGGGGTTCGAGGACTGAAGGGTCTCTGCCCTACTATGTTGATCATAAAACTCGAACACTTCCGGATCCGTGTCGGCGATGACCAGTAATTCGTTTCGCTGATTGAGCTGCCCAATCACCTGGTTGAGGCTGACCTTGAGTGATTCGGGCGCTGATTCCACCAATGCTGCCAAGGAGGCAGCTACTCCCGCGTTGAATTCATACTGGCGACTAAGCCCGGCCTTCTTGAATGCGGGCCTCGCTGGTTGTCCAGGATTCAGAGTCATAATGCCGAGGCCGGCAGGCACGGTTGACGTGCAAGGAACGGACGAAGATTCCAAACTAGTCGAAACTGGCTGCACCAGGTTCATTGAAGAAGTGCCTAGGCCGGATGAGACCGGTGGCGAATTCCTTGGGTGGGACAATGCATTAAAAGCCTGCACTGCCTCTTCTCTGGCCTGATCGAGCAAGTCGTCCAAATCTTCTCTGGTCATCTGGTAGATTTCCACTGCCGCGTCCGGGACTTGACCATCGTTGGATTTCTCCATGTCGAAAACGATCCGAATAACGAGACCAACCGCACAGTAAAGCCGAAAAAGCCGGAATGGCAAGAACTCACATGAGGCCCCGCCCCCATGTGAGTTCGCGCCGAAGCGGCGCGGTTCGCGCCGCCGCGGCGCGGCTCCCGCTTACGCGCCGCGTCCTTAGGAAATTCAAAACAACACA